TTTGTTTTATGTGTTTATATAGTTACCCAAAATAAAATATGTATTATACAACAATTATAATTAAAAAAACTACGCTACAAAATTTTAAATGTTCGTCAAACTATTCATTTTTTTATTTGGAAATCAAAATTCTAATAAACATATGACTCATTTTTTCACRCTTGAAAYAAAAACTAAGAACAAAGTATTTCTGAAATATAATTTAAGATAAAAATTAATCAAAGCAATATTTTGTGGTTGGCTTAAACTATCAATCCATTCATACATTTGTGCGTATAAATATATTTGTATACATTATATTTTGTAGTTTTAAACGATAGATTTTTAGTAGATTCGTTTTAACTAGATATGTACCCTTAAATATTTGATACTCAAATGGAAACAAACAACGTACAAATAAAATTATTACAAAATATATTCTTCGGAATTATTTGATTTAATTTTAAATATTTATGAAATGCCAAAAAATTATAATTTTTATCAAAAAATTACAACATTGTGAGTATTACAATTTTAATAAATTATTGAAATTCGATCGTTACTGGTAAAAAAAGAAACCCATTGTATTATTTTAATAATAAATGTCACCTTAACTCTGAACTYTTTTTATTATAACTATTATAAGTATGGAATCAATCCAATTTCATTTTATCGTCAGTCACAATGATTTTTGTATTGAAACTTCAGAAATTATGGTTTTCTACAAACTCAAATAATAAAATACCAGATATTATTGAGTATTATTGAATGGGAGTCGAACTGAAGAAAAATGTACATTATCGAGCTTATTTATCTGTATAAATATGTTTATAGAGTATTTTCGAGGATATGGTTCTATTCTGTTTCGTCGTATGAAGTTATTTTAGTATAAATACGTTTAAGTATTAAATATTTTATTAAACTTCCTGTCGCAGAACCATAATTATGGTTTTGCTTTTATTATTTATAAACTACGTGACAAGGAGATTACACCGAGTGCAAGAAATATTTTATGAACCCATTGAAAACTATAAATAACTATTTGAGACATAGAAAAACAGACTGATAAACTGGACGAATACCCGTTAGTCATAGATGTTGCATACCCAATAACTTTTATTTTAGTTATAGTGAT